TGTAGAGGCTGACCACGTGCACAATATCTCTCACTCTAGCTAAGCCAGGGGAGGCTATTCTGGGCGTCCACACGGCTTGCACTGGTGACCCTCGCGACAAAGCGAGCGCGTCCGGCAGAGCGACTGAAGAATCGAGGACAGAGTCACAAATCCCGCTTGTTGTGCATGTTTTGAGGTCGGACAGTGCTGATGTCTTCTCCACGCAGCAGCCGACGCCACCAGGCCTCGGTAGCTGAGCAGCAGGAGCCTCCTCGCTGCTGGCAGAGTTGCGCCTCTGTTTGCCGCCGCTAAGAGATCGTTGTTGCGGGAATCCAGGGAATCTAAAGGAATCTAGAATCTGTGGGTCCGAGATTCGATCTGGGACCTGAGCCGCTCGGGACCAGCTGCACATGACTCGGGGCCACTGCCATGTCGCAGACGACTGCTGGATCGGCCGTCGCTGCGACCAGCCGCATCAGCTTTCTCTTTCACAGAATTGGCGAAGTTCCCATATGGGAACCACAGCCGTTTAGGGGTTAAGTTGCGCATTCACAACAAATCTCCTCGGACCACTCGAAAGTGGAAAGAAAGAAAGAAGGAAACAGGTTTGCCAAGGGAGGATGGGCACTTGATCTTGGAGCACTTGGAGTGCCGCAGTCATTAGCCTCACATCCAGGGCCGGGGAGCTAAGAAGCGCACCCAGCGGGCCGGATGATCGGGATCGGGCTACGGGCTAGAGAGCCCTGACCCTTAGGGGGGGGTGCGCGTTCGCAGGAAGAGGGCCATAAAGTAAACACAGGTAGGTAGGTAGAAAGATGAACAACAGTCAGGCTCAGGTCTCCAGGTCGTTTTTTTGTTTTTTTGTTTTTTTTGTTTTTGTTCGCTTCACGAACGAAGGCACGGTTGGCAGGCTCGCTGGCCCTCCTCCCTCGCTTCCCAACCTCAATGCTCCGCGACCCGTTCGAGCACGCCGCACTGGTTCAGCGGATCCAGAGCGAGTGCTTCGCGGAGGACATCGAGCCACCCGCCGACTCTCTCGGGTGGACTGAGGAGGAGCTGCACGCCTTCTTTGAGTCGGGCGGCGACGAACTCCCGCTCCGCTTTGCAGAGACGCCCGGTGTACCCGTGCGCATCATTCCGGCCGGGATGCGCGCGCGGGTCTTTGTGATATCGGACATGCACTGCGACCATCCGCAGAATTTTGGCTGGATCCAGCAGCGACTGCCTGCGAGCAGCTCCGGCTGCTTTGACGTGTGCGTCTGCTGCGGCGACGTCTCGGACAACCTGGGCGTGCTGCGCCAGGCGCTCGGCGTGCTGCGCGCGCGCTTTGACGAAGTCTTCTTCACGCCGGGCAACCACGAGTTGTGGGTGCGCAAGGAGCCGCCGGGAACCACGTCGCTCGACAGGATCGAGACGGTGCGGCGGCTGTGCCAGGAGAAGCGGGTGCGGGTGGCGCCGCTTCGGCTGTG